ACAGCCTGATATTTGCAATTGGTCATTACTATATGGACTACCAACAGAAACCAGAAGGCGTCCGATACCAAAACCCTGTCCCGTTGTCTACAGATTCTTCATACGAATGTGTTTATAGAGATTACATGTTTACAGTTGCTCTGTGTGTCCAATAATGAAGTGGATGGGTTTACATTGGAGTTAGTTGAAAGCCCTGTGCGTCCCATACAGATGCTAAAGTTTGCATCGGCGCATCGATATCAGATGCCGAGGGGCACTGACCAAGAGCTGAGATTTGACAAGTTGGGAGTGAGACTGGGTTGAATTATGATACACTTCAGTGTTGATCAATACTGCATTTATAGAAAGACTTTGACCTTCTAAGATGCTAATGATACAACGCCCCCTTTTGGAAGAGGGCGTTATTGAAGGAAAGTTATGGTTTCTTACAATTTGTTACTTTCATAATTTCAGGAACTTTCAAAATTGTATAATTATAGGCAGATTATTTTACCACATGGAGGTAAAACTGAAAGCAAGGCCACCTGAATTCTTGCTCATACTTCCTGATTCAACAGGAAAAATGTGTGTCTACAACTATTGCAGAGTTCGGCTTGGGCCTAAAACTGAGAACAAAACCCAGCTCTATCTTTCACACCTGACCTATAAGGCTCTCCCCACTAGGCAATGTGTCTTACAACACATGACACACATGAAAGCAGACAACTGTAACAATCAGAGAGAGAGAGTGAGAGAGAGAGAGAGAGTGAGAGATATTATAATACAGTTAATTTGAAAATAACCCAACACGACCAGACCCAAGACCACAGACAGTATCTAAGTGGAAGGAGTCAATGTGACGTCACCTATTGGTTTGTGCACTGCAGCCTCTTGGTTTTTGGCTGCCGCCATCTTGTTTTTTTGCAAGCAGAAGGGACACAAGAGGGTGGAGCTAAGTGCAACCTAACGCTGAATTTCTGTTCAGAATAGGCGACCAAAATGTTACAGTTAACTTTCATGTTCTGAAAACACACTGAGAAAGGGTTAAAATTCTGAGATGAAAACACGGACAACTCCCAAACTGCAACGGTTTGATAGCAACCTGTCAATCACAAGATAGACTCGCCCTAAAGCATACCCATTTTTATAGTCTATTTTACTCTAAATGTGACCATAATTTACTACATGAACATCACACTGTATTGCAGAATACTTGAAATTGGTGATTGAGACAATAAACTCATGTTTACAATGTTTACAGAGGACATAAATCAAGTGATAAATAGGGTAATTTTCTCATAGACCTCGATACAATCGGACTTATTTTTGCAACCAGAGGAGTCGCGTCCTGATGGCCATTAGCAAGAATGCAAGTTTAAGGCACTTCTGCATTGGCTTCCCTTTTTCGGAAACAGAGATTGCCTCCTGCCCAAGTACCAAGGTTTGGCCCCAAACCAAATCAATACTAGATACACGGTTCAGATCAGGTTGCGGAACTCTAAGCTGCAGCACTGATGGTTTGTCAAAGTATGGTTGAACACTTAAGGTAACAATTTTACTGTGCATCTTCATTGTCTCTTTCAAATAAATTGGGTCGACCTAACGGCTTGTCTCAGGCCTGTCTGACTGTACAATAGAAGCCTACTTTTGAGAGATGCTGCCGTGTTCCCAGATCTCATTGTTTAACTCAGTGGTATGATTACTCGTAGAATTTAGGGCCAAAAAGTCTGAAAGTTAGATCCAAGTAGTAGTAATAACTTAGAATTATACCGTCTGTCCCCCAGACTAGATTGACTGAGTGGAAGCAACAAAAAGGTTAGAAATAGGCCATGTATACGAAGTTGAAGAAACTTTTACGGAACCA